AATTAAGGTTTTAAATTTTTAATAATTATAATTATAAAATATAATTACCACCTGAATTTTGAAATGTAAACTTTATCACATTGTTTTTGAAATGTAATGTTGAAAAAAATGATTTGGGGTAATTTTCTCTTAGAATAATGCACATTTTACAATATTGGATTATAACCTCTCACAAGGGAGGTGGGGCCCACTATTATTTCAATCACGGGGCCCATCTCCCTTGTGAGACCTTTTGCAGTTTTTTTAAATTCGTAACCTCCTTGTACACACCCCATTTAGCAGTTACGTGACATGCAATTATAAAAACTTGATTCCCCCCTTCAATTGGCAATATTAGGGTACCGTCCCTTTGCATTCTCTCCATCACTTTCACATTCCAAATGCTCTCTAATCTTGATCTATTGTGTTTGGTAGGGATTATTTTTCAGATTAATGTGACAAAGATGAAGGTACTAACCAGCTCAAAAGAGTCGCCTGGGAGAAAATCGGTCAGGCGAAGTACGTGACAGTGACACCCGATTATTCTTCTAGCCTAAATCCAAACTAAACCTATCAAATTAGCCTTTGATAAAGAACAAGCCATTGTACCTCTTAATCCAGCCCTTGGAGTGGCGCTACTGAAAGCTCTAAGGAGAGCACACCTCCACCACCTTTGACACAAAAGAAGGGCGGCATGAGCCCAGTAATTACATTAGCCGACGGTTGCAAATCCCAAAACATATCTAGAGAGAAATGGACTGAAGAAGAAATTGACACCTATCCAGGGTCTGAAGGTTCTGTAGACAAAAATGAAAACGTTGACGCAAAGGAGACTTTGATAAAGAACGGGCCATTGTAACTCTTAATCTAGCCATTGGAGTGGCACTATTGAAAGCTCTAAGGAGAGCACACCCTCACCACCTAACACAAACGAAGGGCGGAATGAGCCCAGCAATTACATTAGCTGACGGTTGCAAATCCCAGAACACAAGAGCAATTCATTTGGAGAGAAATGGACTGAAGAAGAAATTGATACCTATCTAGGGTCTGAGGGCTCTACAGACAAAAATAAAAGCCTTGATGCAAAGGAGGCCAATACTGAACCGGTACAGGAAGTTTTCGAGTAAAATAAACCTCTCGCCGTTGAGGAAAGTAAGAAATCTGGTTCTCAATTTGTACCTTCTGATGGAGAACCCTCTACTGAAGAATCTGGTGATTCTGCATCTACGTCATAATATCTTTTCGCTAGGAGAAAGGCAACCAAAGCTGAGAAAGGAAAGTAGAAGACCACAGAGACCTTTACCACTCATGTTAGCAAGTCAGCACCTCCTACTCCTGGTGGTGCCTATAGGGTATTGGGCACACCCTCGTCTGATCCAGCACTATTCAGGTTTGACACCCTTACTAAAGGTATAAACTCTCTAAACCCATTTAATTACTGCTTTGTTACAAAGGCTAATGAAACTCTATTTGTCACGTTGACTGTCCATCATAAAGTCATGATGAATTTAAGGTTGTTTTCGAGGACTTTGTGAGGTTGGGGTTAGATGCAATCATAGGATTTCATAAACTAGAAAAGTTGTTATCATTCGAGGGAATTTTCAATGAAACAATTGTGAAAGAATTTGACACCAAATATTCCCAAACATATTGGCACGAAAGTAAATCCTTTTAGGTGGAAGGCCTATGTGAGGAGGAGATTGGTGACTTTCATTCCATCGGTGTTAAGGGACTGGCTAGAAATGGATGAAGTTGGTGTGGGGAATGATGAAGATCTGACAACGGCCATGGAATTAACTGGAAAGTGTGGCCCCTAAATTCTATCAACATACCTTCTTCTAGGCCGACTCTTAAGTATAGAATTCTTTTCAAAATCCTCATACAGAATCTAGACCCACTTACCAATGGCTTCCAATAGTGAAATTATTTGGCTTTGCTTTTTGCTGGAAGATTTGGAATTTGGCTATCACAACTCACACGGATGTTTTATGTTATCAATCTTCTATCCATATTGCTTTAAATCAGTTTTTCATGAGGACAAAACACATTGTAGTTAATTGTCATTTTTTACAAGAACAAGTTCAAGACAACGTTATTTGCACTCTTTTGGTTCATAGTAGTAAACAATTAGCTATATTTTGACCAATGGCTTCTCCACTACCAAATTTCATGAGATATTTTCGCAACAACTTTAGGGAGTGTTGGAGAAAAGAGATATTTGGTATTGGGGAGTATCTTATGTTATAATTTGGAGAATATATTGTGGATGATTTGACTTACCACAATTGTAATTTTTTACAATTTGTTTATCTTCTTTTCTTGATTGGTTCATCCTTAACAAGTGACTATATATATGGGAGTCATTGTAAACTCCAAATATAAGTGAACACAATACAATCTCTCGTCTCACGTTCACATAGGTTTGCCACAATGATATCGAACCACGTAAATTCTTGTGTTCTACTTTATTAGTTTTTGTTCATTATTGAATTCTTTAGAGTGTTAAATAGATAAGTTTTCAAGAGTTTGTATTGTTTATAAAGTCTAATTGAAATTTATTGTTCAAAATAGATTATGTTAAGAGTTTGTATTAGTTTAGAAGTCAAGCTAAATTTTCTCGTTTAATTAGAAACTTTGGATTTTATTGCAAGGTAGTTGATTTCGAATATTTAATAAAATTTTGGAGATTTTTCTTCAATTATCCACCAAAATGATTAATTCGTGCACGGATTTTATTTTATAATTCATATTTGTTATCTTTGTTTAGCTTTTTATAATTTGTGCAAGAAAAGAAAGGAAATTTAGTTAAATCATTCAATCAAATAACATATACACCTTGTTTGAGCAACATTACTCTCCCAAAAATGCATTTTAAATAGTGTTCCGATGGAAAATATGTGCTTTAAAAATAAAGAAAAATTTTGAATTTGCTGTAATATTTTTTTTTGAAGAATGTGTGGTTAAAAATAAGAGGAAAAAAATGTAGTTTACAACAATGTGTAACAAACATGGTGATAATATCTTAGTACGACGGTTTTCTTTCAACCATAACTTAATATATAACACGAGTAAAACATGTATTATTAATTAATTATTATTATTGTATATACACATACATACACACAGACACATATATATACATCATTAAAATATTCCGACATAGTGGAAGAAATTATTGAAGTGTGCGAGAATGGAAGAAATTATTGAAGAAAAGAAGATTATTACCCAGCTTGCTGCTCTTGAGACCAGACCTATGTTTCTTCTCTTCATTGTCCCTTTACTAGTGTTCTTATTCGTCTTATCAAGATTTCGGTATAAGCCCTATCCACCAGGGCCCAAAGGCTGGCCTTTGATTGGAAACATGGCCATGATGGATCAGTTAACGCACCGGGGACTCGCAAATCTAGCCAAGCAATACGGCGGCATCTTTCACCTCCGCATGGGCTTCCGGCACATTGTAGTGGTGTCCAATTCGGACGTGTCCCGGCAAATTCTCCAAGTCCAAGACAATACATTTTCTAACCGCCCTGTCTCTGTCGCAATAAGGTACTTAACTTACGGCAGAGCGGACATGGTCTTCGCTCACTGTGGACCTTTCTGGCGACAGATGCGAAAACTATGCGTGATGAATCTCTTCAGCCGCAAAAGGGTCGAATCTTGGGATTCAGTCCGTGATGAAGTCGACCAAATGATCCGCATTATTGCTACGAAAACCGGCACGGCTGTTAACATCGGTGAGTTAGTGTTCGAGATCACAACGAACATAATCTATCGAGCTGCATTTGGTGGGAAATCATCACATCAGATGCAGGACGAGTTCCTCAAGATTTTACAGGAGTTCTCCAAATTGTTTGGTGCCTTCAATATTGTTGATTTTATTCCTTGGCTGAGTTGGATTGATCCTCAAGGGATAAACAACAGATTATCTAAGGCTCGTGCTTCTCTTGATGGATTTATAGACTCCATTATTGACGATCATATGCAGAAAAAGAAGCCAAACAATGGTTTGAATGAAGCTAAGAGAGATATGGTGGACGAGTTGCTACAATTTTACAGCGATGAGAACAAAGTTCCAGTGTCACAGGATTTAGATAATTCTATTAAGCTCACAAGGAATAACATCAAAGCTATCATCATGGTAAGCAAAATCATACACCTTCTTAGTTTTATTATTTGTTTCCGCAAAATACAGTACTCAATTAGGATAGATTGTATCTATGGAGGTAGATGATATATTATGTGGCTAAAATTAATTATTGACATTTTTTAGAAACTTTTTAAACTTTTACAAACAAATAAATATAACCTTCTCTGATGCAAATTGTTTTTGAAGAATTTCTAAAGAAATGCTTTTCATGCGTATGCTAAATGATTCGAGACAATTTTTTTTCTTTCTTTTTTTTTTTTTTCTTTTTTTTTTTTTAAAGAAAGAAAAGAAACTCACAAGTGTACCAGTCCATGAGAAATATTTTTCACATATGACGCCAATAAAAAAACTCTGTCTGCTAATAATAATATATTTTCAATAATTTTTCTGGTACAAATATCACATCATTCAAATTTTTTATTCATGAGATTCCATGACCAAACATTATCGAATATGGTTGTTGAGATTAAAATGATTTCTTTATCTTTTCATCTCTACTCATCTTGTCGATATCCGAATTGGTACTTTAGCTTAGAAACAAATGAGTGACCGAGGATAAAATTTTCAAATTTGTTCACATCAGTACTTTCGTCATCTTTAACCAAATTAAAAAATAGCTAGGAACCATCTGCCAGTCTCGCCTTTTTGTGTTTACAAAATATAATATAGTTTTGTATCAATTTTTAGGGAAAAATAATAATTTAAAAGTACTGTCCTTTTATGCAGCAACATATATTCCATTCTCTTGATTGGTTGTTTATTAAAAAAAATCATTCAATTATACAAAAACCTTATAGAGAAAAAATAATGCAATGTAGAACTACTAGTACTATATATAGTCTACGTATGTTTTAATTAATATGTTATTTTAAATGAGACTCGTGTCCTTACTTTAAGATGATCTACAATTAATTACACTTGAATGCCACCTAAACGGATGCTAAGTACCAATAACACTAAATAGCATTACTTACAAAAGAATTAAACTTCTTTTACAAATAAAATGTATAGGAATTTTTAAAGATGATGAAGTGTTAACTAGCTGGTTTGAAGCTGTTTTCCTGTCCAACTTTCAATGAAATTGTGACAATCTTCAAATTGTTGGGCAAAATTTCACGTACATGTACCATGATTGCTCGCAAAATTTCCGTTTTATTACACAAGAAAACTTTTAAGAAAATGACCATTACTCGAATAAGACTGCTTGTTTTATAAGAGAAGCAAGGCTAAACATGTTCAGCTCTATAAATAAACTCTAAGTCTTGTTAAGGAATAAATGTGTTTTAATCGTAGGATGTAATGTTTGGTGGAACTGAAGCAGTGGCATCAGCTGTAGAGTGGGTTATGGCGGAGCTGATGCGAAATCCCGAAGAGCTGGAGAAGGTACAACAAGAACTGGCCAGCACGGTCGGCTTGAGCCACAAAGTTGAAGAGTCTGACTTGGAGAAGTTAACCTACCTCCGCTGCTGTATTAAAGAAGTCCTCCGCCTCCATCCCCCAATCCCCCTCCTCCTCCACCAGAACTCTGAAGCTGCCGTGGTAGCTGACTATCTTGTTCCCCCCAAATCGCTTGTCCTGATCAATGTATGGGCCATTGGACACGACACAAATGCTTGGGATGATCCTGATTCCTTCAAGCCCAGCAGGTTTTTGAAAGATGGTGTTCCAGATTTCAAAGGAAGCAACTTTGAATACATACCGTTTGGGTCAGGCAGGAGATCCTGCCCGGGAATGCAACTCGCGCTTTATGAGATGGATATGGTTCTGGCACATTTGCTTCACTGTTTCACATGGGAATTGCCTGATGGGATGAAACCCATTGAACTCGACATGAACGATGTATTTGGACTCACTGTGCCACGAGCAACTCGTCTTGTGGCCTTGCCGAGTCCACGATTGTCGTGTCCTCCCTTCTGATAGTTTCCAACGTTTTCAAAAAATGGGTATGAATTGAAACACTGTTGTTGGTTGAAAATGACACACTATTTTCTCTTTCTTTGAAATTTTTAACCCTCTTTTAAAATTGGATTGTGATAGTGCTAAAAGATATCGCTGCCCTTCCCTTATTTCATGCCAACATGAGTTCCTATTGACAACGAAAAGATCCTTTGTTTCATTCCCTTGTCGCTGCCCTTCCCTTATTTCATGCCAACATAAAGATCCTTCTATTTAAAAATTTCACTTTCAACAACGAAAAATTTTATCTTGAAAATATTTTCAAGAACCTTTTCTTCGACGAAACAAGTCAAAAAAGACATTTGACAACAAAGTTTATCATTGTTAAAAGTTAAATTCTTGTAACAAAATGCGGCCTTCAAATCTCAGTCAATCCTTACTATTATAATCCCATAAAATCGCATGAAAAGTAAGGAGAACATTACATAATTCCTAGTTTTAAAGATCACATTTCATAAATAACAAACTCATTAAAATATTTCAAAAATCAGGTGATAAATAAATTTATTAAATATTAAAATATAATATAATATACATTAATTATTTCTACCTATGCCACATCACCTACCACATCGTATCACCCCATTGCTCCGACGATCACTTCGGTACTGTTCTGGCGACTGTTCTGGCAGCCGCTCCGATGACTTAAAGATTTCCAGAAAATTACAAATTGAAAATCACACTCCAACTCCCATTGATCCACCTACCACCACCCCATCCCTGCCTTCACATCCTAAAAACTTACCAGAAAAATTTCAAGTTACTTCATATAATCAAGCCAGTGACACGTGTCATCCGTGACTAATTGTGACTAAGTTTGCATTCAATGTGACTAACTCTGATCAAATTTGTGTTCAGTGTGACTATATTGACTAATTGTGACCAAGTTTGTATTCAATGTGACCAAATTTGTGTTCATCATGACTATCTGTGACCAATTGAATCTTAATTGTGACCGTATATGATCAAGTCACAATCGATCACAATTAACACAAAATTGGTCACAACCAGTCACAGTACACACATATTTGGTCACAAACCAACACCACAATCCAACACCAGTTATCACCACCATCACCCAAATGCACCACCACCCAACTCAAATTCACGACAATGAAATTATTCAATAAGAACAAGAAATTAAGCATAACAACATTGTAATAGTAATAATTAATCCAAGAAACTGATTTCTTTAATAGGAATAAGTAATCATTTGCGGATCCACGAATCGAAATGATTTTTGTTGAGGCTCACGTCAAGCAAAGGCAGGAGTTCATCGAGAGAATCCAAAAGAAGCCTGTTCCTAGCAGCAGCCAGATCGTCTTCCATATTTTTATTTAGAGGTTGACGATGATCAGCAACGATGAGCAGTCGGTGCCGCCACCATTACTGCAGCCAACCATCCATCAAAAGATCGACATCACCGCCACCAACACCAACTAGGCACCACCGTACTACCACCACCCTCCCCCCAACCCTACAATCGTCGTCACCGCCACCGCCACCACAACTACCATTTCCTCTATCTTCATCTCAACCACACTGTAACCACCAACCCAACTAAAAAATCCACAAACCACCACCGCCACGGCAACCACGATGTCGAACCGCCACCGCTACACAGCCACCACCAACCCTACTAAAAAATCTCCAAACCGCCACTGTCGCCCAATGTACGACCACATCTACAGACAATACCACCGCACAAACAATAACAAATTAAAATCATGCTTGAAGTGTATTCCCAGAGACGTCAAAGCCTTTTATAATAGAGAGATTGAAGATTGTGGAAGGGATGGTAGCATAAATTTCATTATCAGACAAAGCGAGAGTTTCCAGTTCCTTAGTTGCCTGAATGAATCTGGGATCATCCCGTCTAGACTATTGAAGGCTGCAAAAAACTCGACAAGAAGAAAGAGATGGTAGTGCAAAAAACGAGGGTCTTGGTAGGTTTGGATTTGAAATTATAGAAATGGTAGTGAAGAGAGAAAGAGAGGAGATGAGAGAACTGTCGCCACCTTTCCCATCGTCAACTGCCACCATCACAGCCACGACCTCCACTCACCACCACCACCAATAACATCAACACCACACCACACCACACTACACCAGCCGCTCAGATCTTCTTACTCTAGATAACGACGTCGACACCGTCGACGCTGCTCATGTCTTGCAATCTCGCCGGCATTGTAGAGAGCGGAGAGAGATGTAGATAGAGGAGGGAGGGAGAAAAATAATAGGGTTTGGGGAATAGTGGTGGGTATACAGATTAATTTAGTTTTAAAATATTATTATTAATATTTTAATGTTTAATTGTCATATGATTTTTGTAAAAATAAACTTTGACTCTGATTTTTGAAATGTTAAGTTGAAAATTCTTGTTCCATGTAATTTCCTCAAAAGTAAGTCTCTATCTTACCAACATCAAATATCATATTCTCATCAGATCAATTACGAGAGGAAATACATAGAAATAACCTTTTCACTGTTGCATATTTCCAAAGTGACCTTTGACCAAGATAGAGAATAAAAAAAAATAAAAAATAAAACAAAAGGTGAAAATATAGCTTTATATGTAAAAAACCAAAAATATCCTCACTTTACAATTTCGGATGTTAACAGCTTGTTCAGTCGGCCCAGATTCGGCTGTTAACAAAACACTAAATTTCTGGGCCGGCTATATATATATATATATATATTTGATTTTTTAATAATTTAATATAATAAATGATATAATAAATAAATATTTATATAATTAAATATTTTACCCATTTTATTAAAATTAATATAATTAAATAAATGATTTACGTAATTGAATATTAAATAAATATTTATACAATTAAATATTTTACTTAATTTAAGAAATCGAATATGAAATAAATAT